TGCCGCCGTACTGATTACGTCTATAATCGAGTGTGTTCCGTTACATGAAACCAAATACATGAGAGTCTTCGATCGATTTATGACATGCTCGTGTAGAAATGGCTATTTTTGAGAAAGAATATTTTTGGTATTGCCTTTCATTACAATGAACTTCGAAATCTCGTTTCATTCCATTCTCAATAGCTGATTATATCATAAAGTAAATTTCCAAAGAGACGTGACAAGATACGTAACATTTCACATCTTTACAGCCTGCACGAATTTCGAAATATTATTACACCCCTTTATTTTAGAAACAACAGGGATTTTCGAAAAACACCAAAAGCGAGTACGCTGATTATAAAACAATTTCATGCGAACCAGATTAACGTACCTATTTAAAGACAGAATTTATCAATGTGAAGACAGACACCAGTTATTCATCGATTAGTTATAAATATCAAACTAAGAAGATATTATAAAAAGTTATGTGATTTATATCATACATTATAGTTTATATTTATAGGCAGATTTTTTTACATTATTGAAGAGTTTAAAAGCGATATTATAAATTTTAAACTTACTTTATATGCATAATTATTATATATGTATACTTGTATATGTATGCCACGATAGAATAAACTGTAAATATGATATTAGTATGTATCTGTAAATTATAGAGTGGAATTTTCCTTACGCTGACAGAAATGACATACCGCATTATAAAGTCGTCCCTGCTCCATTTGTTCCGATAACGCGAAAATGCTATTAATTGGTCAGCTACCGCCAGTAATGCATACATAATCGATCACTGAGATCACCGGTTGATTTACGAAGAAATTTTATGATACCCGTTTAGCGTTTAGCACTTCTGTTATGAAAAAGCTTATTACTACATAATATTTCTATCAATAATTCTAAAAATTAATAATAACACGTGTTTAATTATTATTTGATTAATTTTTTTCTTAACAGAAAATATAAATAAATATATCAAATTCAATTTAATTTAGTTCGTATTTAAAATTTACAAATCTTTATATTTATAGCGCTAGAAAGTACGAAAAAATATTATTTTAAAATCCAATATTATATAGGGAATAATGAAAATGAAATTTTTATAATATAGTCAGTCCAATTTCTATACACTATCCATTTCAGCTATCAAAACATTAATTAATTATAATTTATTGATCATATTATATATGATGTATTTCATTAATAAATAATTTATTGATCATAATGTTCTAATCAATATTAACTAATCGGATTTAATTTAATGAATAATTGACAATAATATATCATAGATAACGTTATACATAGTTTGAAGGAATTTAAAATATATTTTATAATCATCACATATTTTATAATCCTAATCATATGTTGCATTGTGTTATTTAAATAATTCTATATAATTCTATGATTCTATAATATTATAAAATATATTTCACTCTTTAGATATTTCCTACATTTTATATGTATTTTAAATTTCTCTTAAATTTCTCATCCTTAGTTTAATGATCAGTACTTATTCTTATGATGTAATATGTAATATGATTATATAATATGATTTATTTACATCAAATTACATTTATAAAATTTTCCTTTTTTCAAATAAAAAACGAGCAGCAAGTAAAAATGTTATTTGATTCTTCGAATAGAAATTATACTATAAATCATAAGAAATATATCACTAAATTCATTATAAGTTCATCACTAAGTTCATTAATATTATTAATATTAGTATTAATATAGATTCTAAATATGTCACTTAATTATAAAATTATTTTGTATAATTATTTTAATCATAAAATGAAATCTTAATAACGCCACATGATAGTAATATATAAATAATTTATGGAATTAATTTCATATCTCGTTTTTCAAATAAGCGCCGGTATCTCTTCAAAATACTACAGGTCTCTATTAATCTGTCAAGTTGATAAAGATTGATTTTAAACGTAGGTGGCATTGATTGAGAGGAAATCCACTAAATCGTTCCTTTTTTTTTAAATAAAATTTATCAATGCACAATTTTGCTAACTCGTAATATGTTAAAAATATTAACAATTAGATCAAACATTTATATTGCATTCAATATATTTTTTCAAAATTTACATTGCATTAAATATATTTTCTTAAATTTTTTTTGTTGTGAAACATAGAAAACAGAAATATACTTTATAAATTATTTTTCTTCAAAAATGTTAATTTTTCCTTTTACATGCTGTTTACGTCTAAATGAGTCAAATTATTTTTGACAATCAAATCTTCATTAACATAAATTAACATAAATTATATCAATAAATTAAATTAATTAAAAGTATATTATAATAATTTATATATAATAATTTATTAAATTTTCTATAATTAAAAGTCACGCAACGAAATCAAACAATCTAAGCTGATTTTATAAAATCTAATAACTGAGCTAATTTTATAAAATTTATAAAATATTTTATAAAATTTATATTTTATCATCATTTTTTGTTTAAAATGAGAGAACAAAATTATTTGATAATTTGTTAATTCTACGTAATTCTGATAATATGTACAATAAGAGATAATATGTGCTTCTTTAGAAATAAATGAATCTTCGAACTGTTCTTATTTCTTATAAAATTAATAACTCAGTCTTAAACTTTATGTATTATATTTTATTTTACGTATTACGTATATTAAGTATATGTGTTACATATTATACTTTATTTTCTTCGCTATTATTGAATATTAAAAATTGAAATATTAAGTTTACTAAAATTATTCATTAGGAATATTAGATCTGTTCGCAATTATCAATAATAAATTCGATCTTATTCATTTCTTTTTGTGATTCTTCTCCACAAAAAAATAATTATTCGCTCAAGATTCAATCAAGATAATATTATTCTCACCATCCAACATTTGAATAAAATATTACATTTATTAATATAACTCAACAACTTTTGTTTTGAAAGCAAATTTATCACATGAATATATACAAGTCTTATACGAGTCTTATATCGAATTGATTTTGTGCTCTGAAACTTCTGAATTATATCCATTCAATATTTTTTCATCACCCAAGATTTGAAACATTATAATAGATTATTAAACAGAATATAAAACTTTTGTATTAAAAAACTTCAACTCAAACTTTCAATTTTATTGAAATTAGATTTAGGAGATAAAAGTTATAATGAAGCTAAACATTTAAAACAAAATTATATAAAATTATATAAAATTATTATATAAAAGACATAATAATGTTTACAACTTATATTTATATCTATATAATATATTCATGAATTTTATATTAGTAATATAAGTTTTATATCATGTGTATTAACTACCGACGACTGAAGTATAATATTTGTAGCAAAGAAATTGAAATGGTACAAGAAAAAGTTATTAATACAAGAATGGTACAAGAAAAAGTTAATAATATAATAAGAACACAAACTTCTATTAATATATATTATTAAAAATCACTTGAATATCTAAAAATGCACTGTTATAAATATATAAAATTTCCATAGAAAATTATAAATTATAAATAAATTACTCATTATAGTATTTATATCTATATTCATTTTTCTACGCATTTTATTTATATGTGATATAAATATATTATGTTAATGTGTTGTTGTTTTTTTTAATTTTATTAGGTATTTCAAGAGATGGTGTTCAATGAATTCGGAAGCATTTCCTTTGAAGAATTTACACGTTTCGCATCGAGAATTTCAGAATTTCCGTCAACATTTCAATTCAATATTTAATTACGCTTACATTACGGTAATTATTTCTGCAACTTTGATGTGCATATTAAAGCAAACATATAACTTTGTGCTCCAAATTCATATGCATTATATAATTAAGTAAGAATTATGTAATTTTCTCAAAAAACATATTTTAACAAATTAATTCCATTTAAATGGAATTATTGACCATTTCAGAAGGAGAAAGATATACATAAATATGTGCTTTGCAATAAGCATTCATAATGTATTATTAGTTATATTTCGCTTTACAAATGAAAAATTTTATTATTCGTGATAATACAAATTTATAACACTACCAGGTTACGCTTTTAAATACTTATAATTATCGACTTTATAATATTAACGATGTGATTAATATTATCATTATTTTACATGGAAAATTGCGATATTGTAAACAAAAATTTTACTATCAAAATTTAAGTCTTTATTTGACAAGATAA